GGACACATTGAAACCCATCCAGCTAAAAAGATATTGATGGAGTGTTGGGAACATAACTCAAATAATACATGTTTTGGATGGACTGTAAAAAAAGAGGCTGAGGATATTGGATTGACCAGAATAGATGTACAGAGGAAATTCCCATAATACCTCCGTGGTTATTTCCAATACCTATAGTAGACCTTCAGATTTTGGAAGAAATTAATAATAAAAAGGGCTATGTTTCCAAGAATGAGATTGCACAAATATACATGGATCAAAATTATAGTCAAGAAATTGAAATATTTACAGATGGATCCAAAGATCCCGTTTCAGGAAATACAGCAGTTTCTATATGCATTCCACATTTTAAAATTAAAATTGCAAAAAGGACAAGTAATCATTTATCAGTTTATTCAGCAGAAGTGATAGCCATTCTGATAGCTCTTCATTGGGTCGAGGAAATACAGCCATTAAAAGAAGTAATTTTCTCAGACTCTTATTCTGTCTTAATAAGTTTATTAAGTGGCAAGTCTACTTGAGCAAAGAGATCAATGCACACACTAGAGTACTTTGTGTTCACATATGATTGCCTTTTTTGCTCATATTGATGTCAAGATAGTATGGTTATGGTTATCTGTAAATATATGGGTCTAAGACGACATGTCCCATTTTGGTTTCCGCATCAGATTAAATGTACAAGTGATTTTGTTACATACATAAGAAGTTTATATACATTAATGTGATTTTATACACATTAAAGTGTCTTTAATGTTTCAAATAACTTCAAATAAAATGTCAAAATATGGGTGAAATAATATTCCATCGTCATTCAGTATAACAGATATATTTATGCAAAAATGAAACATACTCATGCTGCCCTGTACTTATTAAAATATATAAAACAAAGTTACTAAAGTTTGTTTTATTATATTATATGTTTATTAAATGTATTATGTTTTAAATGATTAAAAACCTCTTGCTAACAAATGGGTAAAATATATCATTTCTATAGATAAAACGTGACAGATGCACCAAAATAATTTCTTTGAAGGTTTTGAAATGCATATTAATCAAACTTTTATTCTCGTCTTTATAATTGAACAATCTGTCTGTTCTATTTCAAAACAGTCTCTTTCACCTCAATATATTTCTCAATGGAAGTAAAGGAGTGTCTGATATCATATTTTGCTTATAACCTTTGACATATTTTATAACTGACAAATATATGGTAAGGGTGAACAGAGGTCTGAATCACATTGTTAATAGTGATTTGTAATTTAAAGGTCATAAATTTAGTTTGGCCAAGAAATTACCTTCGTTATTCATTCCACTGGACTAAGTCATTTTATGAAGAAACCAAGAAGTCAGTGGTTCTCAACTAGTGGTCGACCGATAATTGTTTTTTTTTGACAGCCGATGCCGATATCTTGGAAAGCAGGGTGGCCGATATAAAGCCGATATAATTTTATTTATTTTAATTAATATTGAAGAAATTTGAAAATTGATAAAAAAAAGTAGATGTGTTAAATAAAAATACTTATACTTTAGATGACAAAGTATTTTTCACAAATAAATATTTAATAAAAATGTAATTAAAAAGGAAGTAAACACTGTAATGTTCCTCAATTAGCCTAAAGTATTGAGGGTCTAAATTTGTCTTCTGAAAGTGTGAGGTTGCTGATAACATTTTTAGATTGATGTTACTGATGCTGAAGTGTAAGCTGGGTTTTATGGTCGTTTCCAACTTTAATGGATGAAGAATATGGAGGGTTTCTCTCTGAAACGATAGTGTCTAATGGGTGTGGACATCTTGTTTTACAGGTGTCTTCAGGAGGAATAACTCCAGACTCATGGAGGGGATCCTGAAACAGCAGCAGGAGCTTTTGGGAATGGACAGTTCCAAATACTCGGTGGAGTTTATGAAGAACGGTACAGATAAGCAAGAGCATCAAGGTGAGGCTCAAATCCTGAGAAAATGACTGTTGCTTTCTGTTTGAGACGCCCACTGTGGGTGGGCACCTGTACAAACAGGTTGGATCAGAATATTTTGTCTAGTATGATTGCAGGTTTTTGTTTGTTTATGATCTCTGTAATGTATCACAATGATAGTTGTTTATACCTTTTATCTGTTTTCATGGCTTGGGATTGGAAAAGCAGGTTAATTCACTACAGGCTTTGTGGGAAAATGGAGAAACTTTTATGCAGTTTTTGTCTGAAAAATATTCATTTTTGCCGACCTCTGTAGGTCAGGAAATTGGTTTTATTTTTCAAAATATGCCTTGAGCAAGTCATCTTTTGAGGACCATATGAAACCCAATCCAGAGTGACACAGTGATACATAGGAAAACCGGTTTTTCTTATTGTATTACACCTAAGCTATATATATTTTCGGGCTCAATAATAAGTACTGATCCAGTTGTTCATGCCAACATATTTATACTTTTCAAAAGTTTGGGGTCAGTAAAACAACTGTTTTCAGAATTGATGATAGTAAGAAATGTTTCTTAAGTACCAAATCAGCAGCTTTGTAACTGTGTGGACTTGTTCACAAGATGTATTTAGCTCTGTCTCATCACACACATCTGACTTTAGCGGAAAGACTGTGAGTTCATATTTAGTCACTTGTTCTGATTTACTCAATTTCTAAATGGAATATAGACTATGCATCACCCGGGTGTTTTAGTCTTTGTAAATGTTGTCCACACTTTACTGAATAAATTAAAGTCATTTTTTTTCTGTCTTCTAAAGTGTTATCTTGTCAGTCAGTGGTGAAGGTCTTATCTCCAGATGATGGGCGGCTCAGTATCGTCCAGGCAGCCCAGCAGCTCTGCCGGGCCGTTGAGCTGAAGGAAAAGACATCCAAAGACATTAACGTCACTGTGCTGGACTCATTACTCAGAGGTGAGGTTACAGCATGTCTGTTAGCTGACTAGCACAAACCCGCAGTTAAATATGACATTTAGTCCTGTAATGTTATGTATATAAATGCTTAAGGACAAATATGTGTTAGTCTTTGAAAAAATTGTGCAACCACAGGTTGTATAAGAAGAAACATTTCTGCATAATTGAAAATGCTTTCTATTATTTTGACAAATAAATAAAATAAAGGATCCGGTCAATTATTTTCCTTTCTTCAGTGAATGCTGATAGGGATTACAAGTGAAGAGAAGGGGAAAAAATAAAGTTAAATACATTTTTCAAAGTGCCTTATGAGGGATTTCAAGTGTATGCCAGTGAAATAATTTGTGGGATATTTTTTGTTGTATTGTAGTGATGTTGTCTTCATCACAGTACAAGAGCAGAATAAATAGAAACACTTTTAGAGCTGTGAAATCTGATAATAAAAATATATATCCGATATCAAACACATTGAAAATGCCAAACAGTATAATATTTCACTGACTATTTATATGGTAATTTGACATTTCTTTATAGATGCAATGATTTAAACCTTTGATTTTTCAAATAAATAGACATTTTTTTGTGACTGAATCAATTAAATAAAACTTAGTCGTTTCACCAAACTCTCTCTTGCAAATTGACATTTTAATAAATATTGGGTCATATTAAATATTAATAATATCAATTATATACTAAATTGTATTACAAGATATTTATCTAAATATAATATTTGTTGTTATTTATAATATATAGTTACAATAATGTATCAAACCAAAATCTGCTTACAAAAATAGAATCGTATATATCTGTATCAGGAACATGATCATGTCAGATAACAAGGAGGCACAATGGAAAATATACTATTCAGGCCATCAGAGTGATGAAGAATATTTATAGCGCAAGCTCTGATTGCAACAGTATGAGCATCATCGCTTCTTTGTGATTGCAGCTCGCTGAGCTCACTCTTCCTGGAGGATATGAGAGACAGATCTGTTATTCAGGACCTTTTTTGCTTTTTCTATGGTATCCAGGATCTTCTCGGTTACCATAAGAGCCTGTAGTGTTCTCATTATTCATCTTCAGAAGCCCCTCAGGCTTTTTCCACTGAAGCCTGTTTTTTTCCCCCCTGTGCAGAGTCAAAGAACATACCAGACCCAGACCTGGTGCTGAAGTTCGGCCCTGTGGAAAGCACACTTGGGTTTCTTCCCTGGCACATCAGACTAACGGAGATTATGTGAGTATGTGTATGCATCGATGTAATTGAGCAAGCACAAACTATACAGAATGCAGGCGAGTTCTTAAACCATAAAACGCGTTTTGCCTTGCACAGAACATTTGAAGTTTACTTCTTTTTGGTCCTTTCCTCTGGCTTTCTGAACGTCTTAAAGTCTTAATTCGTTCTAATCCACAAATGAAGGCCTTGAAAATTCGGAGCAGAATGTCTTAAATGTCATTGCATGCATTGCAAAAAAAGTATCTTATTTTTTTTTGTCTTGTTTTTCCAATACAAATCATTTCCAAGAAATAATGAGGGGTTGGTAGCAGAAAGTGTGTGCTTTGACATAATTCCGTTCATATTTCTGTGAGTGTGTGTCAGTGCGTACGGTGGCATTTATCAGCACAGATTAACAACTAAACCCGTCCACGCTGACACACTTATCTCTGGAAGCTTTCCAAGCATGTGTAATGACGTGAACAGCTCTGTGAGATCACTGCACACATGCAGACTTTCACCGCATTGCGTCATACAACCATCATCAGCGTCCTGCAGTGTGACGGACTCCATCTTAATTCTTTTAAACACCAATTTCTTGCCTAATTAATATGCACAGAGTTTTTACCATATCAGATTGTGAATTATAAATGCGCTGTAACTACTATAATTAAAGGTTAAACAAATGTAAGGCATATACACAAAGCAGCTAAAAATACACTTTTCGTTCTATATATATTTTAACCCAAAATCTTGATGTTGGGTGAAAAAGCACAAATTCATATGCTTCCACTTTTAAAATGATATAACATATCCTGTTGACTTATCTTAAGAAGCAGAATTTAATAGAGAAGGAAACCTGTATTTTTCCTTTTCAGTGATAATTGAAAAATGTATTGAACTAATGGAAAACGTAAATTTGCATTGTTCAACACTGTACGGTTTTTGTGTTTCTCTGAGCTTCCACTAGATGGCAGTGTGTTACTGCACAGATTCACTGCATTATTAGCTAACTTGATCCTTTAGTTTCTCATCCATGTATCACAACACATTCAAGCTTCCATGAAGCGCCAAACAGGAAATCTGAATATATAAATGCAAATTGTGAATATATAGAAGTAAATCAAAATATATTTTTATAAATCTGAATTTATAAATGTAACTCGGTATATGTAGTCGAAAGTCTGAATTGTGAATATGTAGTTATAATTCTGAAAATATAAATGTAAATTGCAATATGTAGATGCAAGTCTGAATATATAAATGTAAATTAATATATATAAATGTAAATCATGAAGATGTTTATTATTCTGAAAATATAATTAAATCGGAATATATATATTTAAAAATCCTGAATATATAAATGCAAATCGGAATATACGTATATATTCTCTACATCTCAATGTAATTATATCTTTAGTATCAGACATGCCAGCAGACAGAAGTTCTTTGATTTATTTTTTATTTTTTAAAGAAAACAGAATGCCTGTACATCCTGCACACATGTATCAGTGCAGATATTGTACTATATTCATTATTATTATAATTAATGCATATCACTTATCTAAACCAAAGGAAATATTTTCCTTGAAAAAAGGCAGTGGGGCCAAAAGATCTTCACAGTCAGTGACAGTGTTAATACCTAGCTTTCTAGACAGTTCAACATGGCTGAGAGGGCTGAAACGTAATCTGTTTACAAATACTATTTTTGAGACAATTGCAGCAGCATGTGATAGACAGTAATAATTAATATAGCACACTATCTCCATTGATACATGTACAGGATATATAGGCATACTGTTTTCATAAAAAAGCTTTAAGAACTTATGTCTACTGACATGCCTAATAATATATACTTATATTGGGATTCAGACTATATATTCAGATTTGCATTTATATATTCAAGATTTATAAATATGCGTTCCGATTTAGAATTAAATAGTCAGAAAAAATAACTATATATTCACAGTTTACATTTATATATTCAAACCTAAAATTATATAGTCGAATTTGCTTCTATTTATTAAGACTTTAAAATATATATATATTGAGATTTACGTCTATACATATATTCATGATTTACATTTATTGTTTTGTGTCTGTATATTCAGATTTATATCTATATATTGCAATGTACATTAATATAATCAGAATTATTACTACATATTCACAGTTTACATTTATATATTCAGACTTATAACTATATATTAAGATTTACTTATTTATATATTAATCATTCATGATTTACATTTATATATTAAGATTTTTGTCTTTATATTCTGATTTAGATTTATATATTCTGATTTACTTCTATATATTCAGACTTACAACTATACATTCTGATGTACATTTATATATTCAGATTTATAAAAAAATATATTCTGATTTATTTCTATATATTCATTTATATACTCCAACTTTTTGCTGTTTGGCACTTCATAGTCTTCTATGCCTTGGATGGTGTTTGTCTGGTACACATCTGTAGACTGTTAATCAGGGCTGTTTTAAAGTAATTAAAATTACGTTTTGATTTTTAAAAGTTAAGTGATTGCACAAAATTGATTTACAATTATGCACCTACATTTCAAGTATATAATTGGCTACATTTTAATTATATCAGCTCAACTACCCTGAGGAAACTGAGATAACCCAACCACATCTGATCTTGTTCATTCCACGGAAAGGTAATGTGTGCGTTTGGACTGAAATTGGGGAGTAATATTTTTTTAGAGAATGAATACTTTTATATAGCAAAGGCACATTAATTTGATTAAAAATGACAGTAAAGACATTTATTACGTTTTGATTTTTTAAAGTTTTTAAGTGATTGCACAAAATTGATTTACAATTATGCACCTACATTTCAAGTATATAATTGGCTACATTTTAATTATATCAGCTCAACTACCCTGAGGAAACTGAGATAACCCAACCACATCTGATCTTGTTCATTCCACGGAAAGGTAATGTGTGCGTTTGGACTGAAATTGGGGAGTAATATTTTTTTAGAGAATGAATACTTTTATATAGCAAAGGCACATTAATTTGATTAAAAATGACAGTAAAGACATTTATATTGTTACAAAAAAATTCTATTTCAACTAAATACTGTTCTTTTGAATCCTGAAAAAATCGGTCATAGTTGTGCTGCTTAATATTTTTGTGGAAACTGTTTCCAACATTGATAAGAATAAGAAATGTTTCTTGAGCAGCAAATCAGCATATTAGAATGATTTCTGAAGGATCATGTGACACTGAAGACTGGAGTAATGATGCTGAAAATTTAGCTTCGATCACAGAAATAAATTACGTTTTAAAATATATTATAATAGAAAACCATTATTTTAAATTGCAATAATATTTTACATAATATTTTTTGTGTAATTTTTATCCAGCCTTGGTGAGTATAAGAGGTTATTTTTTTAAGCTTTTTGAATTTAGTTTTTATTTAATTGTGTTCTGTACTGCACATAAAGGTTTAGATTTAGTTAAAAATCATGAAATGCAGCTGAAGCAATATTTTATAAATATCCAATTAATCAATAGGTTTTTTTATTATTATTTGTCCCCCCCCTATTTAAGGAAATGAAGGCCATCATTAAAATGAATTAAAAGAGCAAAAGATATAACCAATAATATTGTTGCTAGTGGGATCTCCATCACGTGCGTGCTTTCACATGGAGCAGCATTTACTACACAGAGCCGTTGTTCACTGACAAGCTGCGCAAAACCACGATCATGTTTTGTGCAGCTTGTCAGTGAACAACGAGGTTTACTGCTAATTACAGAACTGGCTTTACTGACAAGATGCGCGTTAAATATCGCATGCGATTTATCGTGCAGTCCTAATTCTGAAGTATTCATTCTCTCCATTTTTCTCTCCTCTCCACCTGTAGCTCCATGCCGTCCCATGTAGACGTCTCTTACGACGACCTGTTTGGTGCTCTGCAGCGCTATGCGATGTGCGATCAGCGGTTGGGCAAGTGAGGAAGAGTCCACAGAGAGCAGAACAGAAGGAACTGAATGAGCGAGAGGGGATGGAGGGGGTCCGTCCATCTCTTCATGTTTACAGTACAAGCACTGGAGCCTCAGCGCCAGCAACCCACTGCTGCTGCTCTTCTCTGCCCGGATCATCTCTGCTCTTCTCCGCCAAGGCCTGCCGGGCGTCTCTCTGTGTGTATGTGTGTGTGTGTGTGTGATTATACTTGTGCATTTGTGTATGTGTGAGTCTCCCATGAGTAACTACACGCTGAAAAGGACGCAAGCGCTGCCTTGCGATGTGCCCACCAGCAAGCCGGTTGCTCATATGGTGTAAATTTACCATTATTTTTTTTTTAACTTTCCCGTATCTTTGGACACTTTGGTATGGTGGCAGTTTGTAAAAGTGCACTGAACTCTACAGACGTTAGTGTTACTCTAGTGTGACTTCACGGCAAACGAGAGCCCTTGGACAGAGAAATGCGCTTGTAGTTGCACAGCTGCTTTCAGATGGCGCAAACGTGCGAGAGATTTCTATTCGACAAATCTTCTGCATGCCGAATCTGTCTTTCTGCAATGTCATGCTCCCATTAAGGCTTAACAGGCTCTCTTAAATGGTTATGTGTGTTTATTCATAATTGTGTTGTATGAATGTGCACATGCGTGCCACAAATGACAATAATTAGCATTAAACCCTGAAGTTTGTAATTCTAAGTGTGCAAATTGACTGCTCTACATCGTTCCCTCCGAAAGCTCTCGCCGTTTGTAAATGCTTGTGGTGCCAATTATGTTTTTATTTGATTTTTATTTGTCATTAGGAAATATTGTTTCATTCAGACGTCTGTTATTTTTCTCTGTCAATGCTTCTATGCATCAGAAATGTTTCACATTAATATTTCGTGAGATCCGTGATTGTTTTTTTTTTTCATAAAATGACACAGGCTTTTCATCGTTCTGCTTACCAGAAGAAGTCTTAAATGTGTAATTCATGGGTTGCCGTTGGAAGGGTTGGTTTGCTAGTGTCCAGTGTGAATGTATAATAAACGCTACTGGAATCCTTTAACAGTAGTTGTGTTGAGAGTGGCATTGATTCTTCTGAGGTGAAGTCGAAATGAAAAGAGGAATGATTTTCTGTTGCAGCTTCACTCACACACTTCCTGCTTCTGACTGGTGTGTGATTTTTCTTTTAACTGACAGTTCTTCTGGCTGGCACTTTTATCCAATGTGACTTGCGTTCAGGCTATATATTTTATCACTGTGTTGCTTGGGAATTGAACTCATGGCATTGGCATTTCTAGTGACATACTCTTAACAGTCTCAGGAACTCTGCTGGTATATTGGCTACATCATAAATAATTCTTCTACAATTCGTCTACCTATAATTCAGCTTGATTCAGCTAAGGATGATGATCTCAATCTCCAGAATGTACAAAAAAAGTACTTGCCACCATAAATGTTGTCTGGAGGTCTCAAGCACTATATTCCAAGCTGTCTGAAACCGTACAATATCTTGTGTGAGAAACGGGTTGAAATTAAACTTACCCGAAATTGAAAATCCTGTCAGCTGTGGTCACCATTCACTTCCATTATATTCAAAAGAGCAGTTTAAACTTAATGCAATAAATATCTGCTTGTGAGTTCTACGGAGTAAAATAACTAAGGTGGGTTTCAAAGGCATGAATAGATGAATTTACATTGTTGGGGGACCTGCCACTTTAAATTCACATTCATGAGTAGTAGATGTAATTGGAACATCAAAGCTGAAGGATGGGGGTTGTCATAAATTCCTCCTGTTCTTATTAAACACCTCCATGTCCAAAAATGCAGCTTCTGAAGTAGTTCACGCATTTAGGTCAGTGAGGACAGGAGGTGTTATTATGAACATCTGGGCCACTGATTACATTGCTTCTGTTGGGTGTCATTCACTCTGTGACAATGACTGCTTTGAGAAGAAAAAGCATACCAGAACTGGTTGCCTTTGAATTTTACTTTCGGTGGTTACTCGGATCTACGGTCCACTATGTTCAGAGTTACTAAAAGCTGCTTTTCATATTCCCATGCTCTCACAGGAGAAGTTTCATTATGGATTGTTGCTGGGATTGAAAATATGTCAGGTTGCATTTTTAAAAGCATATCAGGAGGACAGAATAATGCTGGAAATTAACATAATTTTGGCGTAAATTTCGATTTTCGATGCAGTTTGAAATGTACAAACTAATTCGGTCTTACGTGTCCCTCATCATCTTTAATGTATTACATATTTTATTTGGAAAAGCTTTTCCATAATTATTTATTGCTATTTTTCATATCACTTAGATTTATTTTCATATTTTTTTCTTCTACATGAATTCATATGCATTTGGTTCACATACTGCACTTGCAAGCAAGAAGGGTTTATTGCCTTAAGCCTCTTACAGAATCTACTTTCCATTTTTTTGTCTATAAAGAGTAAATAAAAGTGTGAGTTTCATTGTAACAATTTCATGTAAGTGGCTGAACATGAAATACATGACGACTTGATAACTAATGATAGCTGCACTGAGGGACTCTTCTGAGAAAATGTTTGTCAAGATGTTTGGGAGTATCTGAAGAACAAATTGTTGTGACCTGCCTCTGAACATTAGGAAAACATGTTGTATCTTGTATACAAGTTATCCTGATTGTTGTAGGTGAGTAAATGTGAGGTCTGGTATGGAACTATGCATGTCTTATTAATAAATCCATATTTTGCCATTGTTTTAAATTATGATGAAAAACGAGCAGACAGAAGACTTGCCATACTGTGTGAAAAGTACTCCGTTATCAAATGAGAGATGTTATGCAAGTCATTTTATATGTATATTATAAAATGCAATATTAAATGTATTATATAGTTAGTTTCCTTGGAAATTGTATATATTTTTATAAAAAGTTCTATAAAAGTTGTTTCCTGTAAAATTCCATATTAAAGGAATTGTTCACCCAAAATTGGAAATTAATGTACTTCCCCTCAGGCCCTCATGCGTGATTATGGATTTGTAATTTGGCTGGAAGCGACGGTTAAAACCTCTTAATGATGGATTTGTTTCTTACAAAAATGCAGCTTTTCACTTTACAAGATGTCTTGTGGATTATTGTGATGTTTTTATCAGTGTTTGGACTCTCATTCTGACGGCACCCATTCATTGCAGAGGATCCATTGGTGAGCAACTGATGTAATGCTACATTTTTCCAAATACTCCTTTAAGACCTAAAAGTAGTTACAAGATTTTTTTCAGGAGTTCAATTTTTTTATTTAATAAGGTTAAAGCTGAATTTTCAGAAAATCATATTTTCCTACCTCAGGCCCTAAGTACCTGGACATTTCAAAATGCTTTGGAGTTGAAGGTCAGTGCAAAAATACAGCAAATATCATAATATTATGAAATGCATAATATGATGAAATATGATGTCAGAAAGGTCAAACTCTTATTCTAAAGGGTGGGTTGTCATAACAGGGTTGAAGGCTTCTCTTTAGAAAAAAACGTATAAATTCAATATTAGAAAAATGTGTATAGCCCATTCAAATATGGAGATAAGCTAAGCCATATTACCAATAAAACATGTAATTATTTAATTATTAATATATATATTTTTTAAATATTGTAAAATGTTTTTAATTAAAAATATATATATTTTAATTAAAAATATTTTTCTTTTTTATTATATTATTTTTTATTATACATCGAACAGTTATGTTTATAATGTGAATATAATTTCAGTAGTATGGTGCAGATTGCACCATTCCCTAAAAATGACTTTCTTCACTAATGAAATGTAAACAATTTGTTTAGTCGAGGAGTACAGTGTCCAAATGAGTCTAACTTTTTGGTCCCACTGTTTTACTAAAATTGAAAAATCAAACCAACAAACAGAATTTAATTGAGCGTGATATGGGCGTATTTATTGATAGTGGATTAAGAACTTATCTGTGTCTGTCTGAATGACCTTTAGTGTTTGTTATATGGAGCTTTTTGTTAAAAATCTTTTGTTCTTTTTGTTATTGTACATGTTTCCAATAAAGCACAAGTCCGTGTGGACCTTCAGTCAGTCAGAGAAAGGCATCGACCGCCGCTTTAGGTGATCCACCCCCCGAAGCTAATAAGATAAATATTGCAGCATGATAACACCTTGAATAGAAACAAATCAATTTGATCACCAGAGCATATTGAACTGAGGTGCTTAGAACGCATAATTCAGACCTGCCTACAAAAATAACATCTCGTAGTGGATTAGCCAAAGCCTAAATTATCATTAGGTTGTTTCAGGGAACACACAACAGTCGGGATGCATTAGCAGACACATAAATCCACTCAAGGACCTGCTTTATGAGCTCTGCAGTTCCCTCGTTTTTGTTGATTTGAATTTGTGCCTATTTATAGTACAGACATTGTCAGGTCGTTCTCTT